AAGTGTGTGTTGACCGAAGTTTGACCCCAAGTCACGCACTGAACTGGCGCGATACCTTAGCAACCTTTTTCTTTCGTGCCCCGCGCGTCAATCTAGTAAAATTGTTATTATATCCGAAGGTACTGTAATTAAGCAACTTGCATGCAACTCTGTACTGGCTTTGAATATATTAATGTCGTTTACTTAGTGTACTGCTTTTCTAATTATGCAAATGTGTTTACAATATTGTACCGGCTCTGAATATTTCAACTTCTTAATGTATTGCTTTCATGATAATTAGTTCTTTTTAACTATTGTTAGGGCACTGACCCAGAGTATTGGGTCTGTGAATATTTCAATATAACTGACTTGATAATGCGTTACATTCGTAATAATTACGCAAACATAAACATACCATAGGTCAAATTAAATTTTACTATAATATAATAAACTCTGGGCAGCACACTTCGATCGCATCATTCACGTACATTTCGACTGAACTCTAATAACCACGCGTTTGAATTACGTGCGGCATTGGGCAATGACCTCCAGAGTTCACTGATATTTAAATTCGAGCCACCCAGCTTGACGCAAATCAATATAGTTACTTGTCATTTGTTCAAAAAATCTTTCAACTCTTACAAATACCATGGACGCGAAGAGTTAACTGGGGGTTAAATGAAAGGGAATGTCTTTCTTGGACAAAAAACATGTCAGTACAAGATTATGTGTGCAAGGTTAGATTTATAGAACGTACATGACCGCTTAACTTTGTGTTTTTCACCGAATCCGGTATAATGAAAATGTGACACGAGGTCAATCACCCGACCAATCAAAAACGTCAATTTACGTACCATAGGGCGGTTCACTTAAATGACGTAATAGAATAATGGCGAACACATGGTCGATGCAACCCTGTGGACCAGCGACGAAAAAGCCATCCAAAGCCCAAAAAGCTTTCCGTCACGGGAATTCGTAATCGATGTGCTGACCGATGAATATTTATCGACTAAGTAATAATCTTGCCCAACATCTGTAGTGTCGTGGGGGAATGATTTTTTTCAGGTCAAATCCTTATCGAACCTAAACTGCTTGCTAAACGAAAGGCTCTGATGACAGAGATCATCTACAATTGCGGCTACACCAAGTACTGATAACATAAAAACTCAAACAAAATGTATATTTTTAATGTCTTCATGCAATATATTCTGAGTTATCCACTTTATTCTGGCCCGCGAATTAATAGGATACAATTTTAAACATGTTTTTGAACGCCGCGAATTAATAGGATACAATTTTAAACATGTTTTTGAACGCCGCGAATTAATAGGATACAATTTTAAACATGTTTTTGAACGCCGCGAATTAATAGGATACAATTTTAAACATGTTTTTGAACGCCGCGAATTAATAGGATACAATTTTAAACATGTTTTTGAACGCCGCGAATTAATAGGATACAATTTTAAACATGTTTTTGAACGCCGCGAATTAATAGGATACAATTTTAAACATGTTTTTGAACGCCGCGAATTAATAGGATACAATTTTAAACATGTTTTTGAACGCCGCGAATTAATAGGATACAATTTTAAACATGTTTTTGAACGCCGCGAATTAATAGGATACAATTTTAAACATGTTTTTGAACGCCACAAATTAATAGGATACAATTTTAAACATGTTTTTGAACGCCGCGAATTAATAGGATACAATTTTAAACATGTTTTTGAACGCCGCGAATTAATAGGATACAATTTTAAACATGTTTTTGAACGCCGCGAATTAAAAGGATACATTTAAAAATTAGGGTTCGAAAATAAAATGGGTGCGCGAATTAATAGGGATCGCGAATTAATCGAATTTTTACGGTAGCTGTCATCAGGGTTTGACCGGAAGTTCACTGATTCCGATTCTCTGATTCGTTAATGTAATGTATGAAAGGGAGCGGTAGACAAACACAGATAATATAGAAAGGAAAATACTATTTTACTTAGACATATTAATAGCTATCTTCCATTAAGCACTCATGGAAGGAACGAGTAAATCAAGTTTCTGGATGTGATATTGTAGACTAACAAAACACACCTTGTACTGACTTGGTGAAAAAATGACTGACTTACTCTTGATGAAATATCAAATGACATAGATGAGCTTGACTCCTCATCGTCGTTATCAGCGGTACTATTACTCTTCATTGCGTTATACAGAACTGACGTTACTTTTAACAATTCCTTGACAGCATATCCATCCGCCATGTATAACTTCTTGGTGTTCAGTTTTATATGCGCTTTTACAGCCTAAAAAGAAACAAAATTAGACCACGTCATATTGATGTTTGCTGATTTAAGAGCATCGCTGACGATACATGAAAGTAATCAGAAACATGTGTATATACATGTATCCCCCAATGGAGTGACGTAGAAAACTAACCATGAACTGTGCCACAGCTTTAATAAATATAACTCTATCTTGTTCTGTATCGGTATCCATGGGTAAATCTGTATTGGGGTCATATCTGTAAATAAATAATAATTCAGCATATAAACATTTATTTGTACACAAAACATGATACTACAAGAGTTTCAATATTTCTAAAGTCTGCCAACAATTGAATATAATAAACATGGTACATATAGAAGGTTTCACTTGTACATGTTTGCCTGTTGTGTCTGGTTGACTGGTCATTCGCACCCAAGGTTTATAATAATAATTTAGTTTTCTGCTGCTATACCAAAAGTAGATCTGTGTGTCACGGTTAACAAAACAAATTATAGGCAATGTCACAGCAGATCGTGAGGTAGTGCCGATCAATGAGCAACATTTTTATCAGACATTCACATTCCAGTTGGCCGAAAAGGGTCATTTTCCGATTTTTATTCAGTGAGTAGAATCGCGGGGAGCATACTACATGATGTACGTAGTTGTTTGAATAATTTCGTGTAAACTTTTGTGTATACATGTACAATTCACAATGCAGTGAAATATATTTTTATTCATGTGATATCAGTAATAGTTCCAGTTTTAACATCCTATCATTTCAGCTTTTCAGACAAATAAGTGTGGTGGTTTTACTAAGTTTGGTCACTGAAATGGTATGCCAGAACTTTTATAAAACAATAGAGACTATTTTTATTGTAGCAAAATGATTATGCAAGTTAGTTAGCAGTATTACTATGTAAATTAACCACCATGCTAAAGTCTTTACCTTGGTAGAGCTACAAATATTAATAATGTCTAATGTGTGGCAGTGTTATTACCTTACCTTCTAACAAGCCACATTAAAACCTCTGCCACAAGTGGAAAATTAGGAGTTCGGAAATTCTCCATTGAGATGAGGCGTGGATACCCCAAAGCTCTCATCATCTCAGTGAAATCTACAAACAAATCCATATGTATTAGTACTTGCATAAGAATGTAAAACAGCAATCCACATGCATTTTAGTGAAATGACGGAGGTGAGTCGATGGTCAAAATAACATTACATACGGAACAGTTATTCACTGCTATTATTTTGAGTGACAACATACCGGTAGTCCTTAAAACCTCCAGAAACACCTTCTTCCTTTCTGGTACATGAATACTGGAATATTTTTGATCACTGACATCAAAATGTCTGAAAGTTTAATTCTATGTACTTGCAAATCCTTCTTACAAACCACTTTAACATCAATGTACATTCATGACTGATAATAGTCGACATATCTGCCAAGTCAAAATTCTTCAAATTTACACAAAAATTGTCAATTATCATTTCTGTCAATTGTGCCATCGCATAATTCAAATTTTGTGTAAACAAAAAAATGTACATAGAAAATAAAGTAAATATGTTGTAAATACCGTCTGTGTATTTATTTTGTTTATTTACCTTGCCATTCTTGTGAAAGAGGTACGGGTATTAACAACGATAAAGAACATAGCTGCTATGAATGAATTTCTCAGACTGTACATTTGAGATATGTATGAACTACAAACACATACAACTATATTATATAGAGGGTCCAGAATAAAGTAGAATTTCTTAATAGTACTTTAGTGTCATGAAATGCTTAAAGTGATGAGATTTTCTGGAATATTTTTCTTTAATTGTTGTAAGCATTTCACATTCAATAACAAAATGGTACTCAGATTCCACATTGTTATTTTTACACAGTGGACATGTTTTATAACTTACAGGTAGTTTGGGTGTCTGTAAAATTTATAGTTAGTATATACATGTAGCAAGGTATAGAACATTGATTATAGTTTAAATTAATTATATTTTATATAAAATGGTATATCATAATTTAATTATTAAATTAATTTAATTCACCAAGTTAATTTTAAATTAGTGTACTCACCCCGACCATGGACGTACTATTACGTTGGTATGCCCAGGCCCTGACTGAAGATGAAGCCCCATTGAAGGTAGATAGACACCCCCACCCCAATGCATATCAACAATACCATGTTTATAATAATAAGATATAGTCAGATACATAAACTGATAACAACGATTTAGAAAATAATACACATGTTTTTGAATGTCTTTGAATATCACAGTAATGTAATTCCTAAAAATTTTGGAGATTTAGTGTGAATCTAACGCGTACACACCGTCGCCGGTCACTGTCACATACACACAAAACGTAAACACCAACGACCTGTACTAGATGCCGACAAAACTGCACTACATATTAGAACCTAGGCGGCTTTTTGACAATACTAGATATCCATGGTCTTGTCATATCACTGTTTAGATGGGGAATAGGTTCGATTACAGACCGACAACATGTTTTTTTACTTACTTCGCAAATCTCTGTACGACATCTTGACAAGCTCGCTCTAGCTCCCGAAAAAGAATGCACGCATGCGCAGTGTTGGGTGAGCAACGAACAACAGAACATCTAACGCGAATTCTGATTGGTTTGGCTGTACACGTGATTATATCTGATGGCTCAAATAAATAGAGACTGGATTGCAAGCAAATCAAGCACTTGAGAATGTATTAATAACACATGCGAAAATACATGTACATGACTGACATGAATAACATTAGGGTTGGTGGATGGAACTGTGCATTTTTGTTCGCTTTTTTCGCGGTGTAAATTTTAATTTTTTTATTTTATTGCGCAAACATGCAACATTTTCAACCCTCCTCCAATAATTTCAAATGACCGACCTTTTAGTAAAAAAACGTTTTTGTAAACGGCGGGCACAGCATCGGTCAGATAAAATATCCTTCGCAATGAAACATGTAATGGTCACACTTTGTACTAAAACAGCTACTATTTACATATTTACAAGTCTGAGAGTTCTTTAACACGTGACACGGAAATAGCAACGTGTACACACAAAGTTCTGTATACATGTGTACGTGAGAAGAGTCCCCCTAAATTTAAAAGGTCAATCCTTAATGTGTTTCAATAAAAAAGGTTGCTCATCGTTTACGAGAATGATTTCTTATCTTATTTGTTTCGTGTTAACGGTCGGTATCTGGGGAGCTGTAACTACGAAACCCGTCCCATCTATTTGATTTCTTCAGTTTTCATGAAAGGGAAATGAAGAGCCGCTTTCGATTAGGTTTATTTCTATAATAAGTCTTAAGACTTTTAACTTTCTGTCACAAAAGATTTACATGTCAGATATTGCAGATATTTTTGCTTTGCTATACTTTCGGCGCAACGAAAGTATTCCCTTAATCTTTTATAAATATTTATAAATTTCACAATTCAAACAGAAATGATAGATGTCTATTGGCCGATTGAATAAAATTGGAATGTTTTCAATTGACGTTGTTGTGCTCGTCGATTGACTGGTTGATTAGTTGAAATTTAGAAGTATTTATAACAGCTTTTTTTCACTAGGGGGCAGCAAATGTATTTTTTTAAGTTGCTTATAAATGTATAAAGGCGTAGAGGTGTTGCGCCATAAGTTAATGGCTATGGGGGTATATCTACTATTTTTAACAATAAAATCATCTTGATATATTTCATGAATATATACAAAACACTTTTGTTCTATCTTCATATAGGAGCAACATTAATGTAATGTATAGGACTGATTAATACAATTGATAGTTGTACAATACATAGTTTATGTTTACAACTTTGGCGATAGCATATTAATTTATCTCCTTGAATAAATCACTTTTGGGGAAGGAATGATGTCTGTGCCTCGGTGTACTAGTAACATTGCAAGAGCACTGAGTCTGTCTTGAGCCACGCTAGATCGTGCCCATAACTTCACCCGCCGAATTGCAGAAAAAGAACGTTCACATGACACGCTTCCGACAGGTGTTGTAAAGAATATTGTGAGAATTCTGTGGATGGCTGGGAAATAGTTTACATCACAAACAGCAAGAGATTAAGCAGCATCCTTGGGCCTTTGCTCAATTGGCGTAACACTGAACTTTGTTATCCACTTCTCAATTTCAATATTCAAAAAATCATCCTTTTGCAAAAATTTCCCATAGTATTTGTTAATTGAAGTCACATGGGTTGATGTGAGCTGACCAATGTTGCATCATGGTAAAAGTGCTTGTGCAGCTATCAGATCACAGTGATGATCAGCAAATCGCGTCTCGAGATCTTGGATGACATGATCCGAGAAAAAATAATATACATTCAATATTTTCGAATATATTCCGCATCGTTTACGAAATTCTGTCAAATGCTTCCCGCCGCCGTGAGGCATTGCAGACCCTGTGGAATCTCGACCACCAAGAAGATCACAATGAAGTGATCGAGCTTGATTAGTGCTT